GAGTATCGTTCAATCAATCAATCTATCTGTTTATCTATCTATCTATCTATCTATCTATCCACCTTTTGAACGATACTCAACGAACACCTTACTATTTGTATCCTCTCATTCACCCCAAACCCGCATATCCCTTTATTGATGAGTCCTAGATCATTTGTTGCGCTCCAAACTCACCTTCACCAACTCCAAATTTTTAACATCGTATTTTTCTGCCTTTACGGCAGACCGAAATCTACTAAAAGAAAGAAAGAATTACTCATCAACCTTCTGGCTGTTTGAGTATGAAATCAGTTCCGCATGAAAACACGTTGGGCACACCGCTCTATAGTTTCCCGTAGCCTGTATTTCATAACAACTTGTGGCTGTTTCAAACCTGATGCCCATGTAGTGGACTATTTTCGTCGTGACTCGGTCCATCATGTGGCAATAATGGGGCAAGTCAAGTACACCACTTTATCACTGACAGCACCAAAACACTTGTTGCCCCCGAATTTCCCCGTAAAATGACTTATGAAGGAAGGGGAAACTGGAGAAAAGAGCATATCAGTGCAGTTGTTTGTAGAAGTTATTATTCGTTAATAGTGTAAAATCAGAAACATTTTGTTGCGTTGTGCTGATTTCACTGCATCCCAGCTCTGTAACCCGACGGAATTATCGAGGATGAATCCAGGCGCATAAATGACCACTTCCCACGCAAATTTATTGGTAGAATGCTGTTGAAATGGCCACTACATGAGGAAAAGTGTCTGGCGCTAGACCAAATAGTTTATTGCGCCTGCATTTAACTTGGAAAATAGCACCAAGTGGAACAAAAAATTTGCTAGTCACATTAGTTTATCCATGGAAAACTCGAATCTTGTCTGAACACCGCAAGATTTCGACAGGTAAACCTGTGAGTCTGGTCAAAATATCTAGTTAGACACAAAATGAATGGGCAGCCATCATTTGATTCGAACCAAAGTGATATTATTATGCTTGATAGTAGCAAACGTACCACCCAGTTATTAGTGTTTAGTGGTGCGAGGTTGTCAGGGGATTAGCGTCATTTCAGGAGTCGCTGGCGAGAGAATATGTAACGTCAAAACCACATTGGAAATGTCGAGAATAGGGTATATATTAACGAAGCCAGGTGTGTTTTGTGGAAAATGATCATTTTGTACCTCTATCTCCTCTACAGTTCCCCAGAGTGACAGTTGTTAGAGGTGAGGAACTCATCCATCGTGTTACATTTCACGGGCGCGGATTCTTTAAAAACTCAAACTGTGATGAGGCCCAATAAATGAACAGATTTCGTATTAAAGAGACGTACGTTTTGGATAAAGCCCAATGAACATATGCTAAAATTAAGAGGACAAGGGCTGTGCAGAGATCGAATCCCTTGCACTCTGAATGATATTTTTAATAATTGGCCTTTCTGAATTAATTCAGATCGTTCTTCTTTGAATATCTGAGAGATATCAACGCCTCTTCGATTGTGAAAGTCACTCCCAGTAACAGCTTGTCAGCTAGAGTAGCAGTCCGCCAAAAAGATTTGAATACTGGCAGGCTATGCATGTTTCAAGCACACCTCGGATCGTGTTTGCTGTTATCCTAACTCCCATCACTTTACGTCAATACCGATTGGTTTGATTTTGTTGGCTCCAATTCTCCGCAAAAATTCACTGACCGGTCTGGAAAGCTCCAGTCTACTAACATCCCCGAAAGGCATTTTCACCCCAAAGACCTGGTGCATGGTACTAGACCAACCCGACACACAAAACGATAGTTAGGGTGTAAACCCACAAACCACGTCTTACTGGATTCGGTTTTGTACTATCTCGGTGGACAAAAACTCAAGTAAGCTTTACGGTAAATATCTCCAGCTTTCTCAGCTCCCTGTCATCTTCTGGCCTCAAGGTGGTTTTGTTCGGCTTGTCACTCGTTTTGCGAAAAGCTCAGGCTGAACAGGCCTTAGCAGAGTGTTCCAATCACTTTTGTTTTAGGTGATAAATGCTGCAGCGGCCTGTTGGTGCTTCCATTTTCGAAGACGCTGGCGAAGTCTGTCGTTGCTCACACGTCTCACCAGATATCAGTGTTAAAGTACACTGTTTTTCGATGTCCTCGCCACTAAGAGCTAGGTTAGCACGCCAAAGAGTGGAATAGAAGAGTTGATTTACAATTGAAGGCTACTGTGATGACACCATAAACGGCGCAACTTTTTGGATGCGCCTTCTTCTCTTAGACACTCCGTCCCCCTTAACATCAGCAGTAAATCACTTTCCCAGGTGGAGCAAATTTCTAGTTAATTTCGGGATATTTCCATCGATACTCGATTGACACTCCAATAACAGTCCTTTGCACTTGGATGCTGAATGACTCATCTCCAGGTGTGGAAAAGAAATCGCTAGACTGTTCAGAAAAATCTGGGGATCATCCACATGTTCGGTCTTGCAATTTGTCACCCGGAGCAATCTTGATACCCACCCACGATGAGACAGGCTAAAGTTCTTCCAGAAAGTCGTCTATGGGTAATAAAACATGAAAGGCAGTTATAGACCGTCCTGTCCCACGCCACTCGATATGATGAAGGTGCGTGACGACTAGCAGTAGAATTCGAATTGATGAAAAGTGTATTTTTAAGGAGTTCTGATGATATTAATTTACTTCCCAAGCATTCTATTCTTTGTCGTTCAGTCGAATAGTGCCACTCGTTCTACCGAATTAAACCGTAGAACTTTTCTAACAGGTATACACGTGCATTGAGTTCATTGCTTACCCGGAATGTATCCTGGTTGTTTTTATGGTATACACATCTCTAGCTGATGCTAGATCCTGGCCAGCAATTGCTTGGATGCAGGTCGTATACTCTTTTTTAAGGCGTAGCCAGCAGAATTCTAATCACTAGAATTAAGTTCGTTGTCCTAGATTTTAGCAAAAATGGTGAGGGACCAACTCTTTGTCTCTGAGCGCGACTATACGGGTGAGGTTTCAGTTGGTGAGGCCCTGTTCGGTTCAGATACTTTCCATATGCATATTTTTCCGGACGATTCCAGCCGAAGATTGAGGATCAAAGCTTACCAATCAGGGAAGAAGTCACAGATCTGTCTTGAGTGTTTGGTGTGGGAAGCCAATCGTTATGTTCACCATGTTCTATTCAACTTTCCGCTCATCTGTTTGGGGTATTAATTAGCTAGCCAAACCCCACGTCTAGAGTCTCACTAATCAACTGACAAGTGTCATCCCAGAAGCTAACTGAACCGACCAGTTATCCAGGTCGGAGAATTTTTCACTTTCGTAGAGGATACTACTCACAAGGTTGCTGAAAACTCTTCGACAGCCCACGACCGGTCTCGCCCTTCTTGGGGCTCATCAGGTAGGCGCAGTCCCCGAGTTTCCGTCAACCTTATGTTCTACTTGAACCCAAATTGGGCTATCTTAGATAGATTCAGTTGAGGCTCTCGTGAAAACCAAATTGATTTGCAAATGAGTGTATTTCTCGAAGTTTCCACTTTCTTTCTTGGCACCAGCAGATATAATTTTAGGATTACCTAGAGGGAAATTTAGGACATCCAGAGAGCAAATAATTACTCATTTTGCGACCTCTGGTCTGGTCGTGCCAAGTGTTGAACATTACAAGCGTATGAGCAGCGGTCATCAACGGCTCTCAACGGTGGTGGTGACAGAAGCAAGGAAAGCTTGAATACATGTTGTTGTGCCACTTCTGGTTCTGCCCTCCTCTTTTCCAAGCTTATTGCGTTCACTAATGAAACTCATAGTCCTCAGTAAATACCACAGTGTGCGGTCAGAATCTCCATGTATGTTCTAGCAAGATTTACGGTCCTAAACATAACCTTGTCAGCTATCGTTGACGAGAATTTGGTGAATATTCGTCCATGGTTTGTTTGAATATAGTGGGTGACGGTTGGTACGTCTGTATATAATTTGCCGTGAATTCATGCAAGAGAGAAATGGACTGTTACCAATGCAGAGCTGTTGTAACCATTCTTCATTGCTCTTAGGTTGGGTGCTTATAGAAGATGGGAAAACTGGATCTGCTAACCTGTATTCTTGTTTCCTATAAGCCTCAAACCGTCTGTGCTGAAAGCCCTCCCTGAAATTTATTGTGAGTGCTGATGCCATTCGTCTTCTTTCTCATCACTTGTTTTTTGGTAAATGCAAATTGACAAACAGAGCTCTGTTCGTACGTTTTTCGGATGCCAAAATTGTGTTTTTATTTGTTAACTAAAACACTGGTACCAATCGAGAGTCAGTTAGCTCACGGGACTATGCTTAGTGCAGTATCAAAGCCGCTCTTCCCTGGGTACAATGCAGGATAAGCTCCGGACAATTTTAGTTTGCACAGCTCCTTTGATTTAAGTTTTGGGAAACCTGACGCAACGGAAACTTGACTTGTGGTTCTGATAAACATTACCCGGCAATTTACATGACTCAAGAGTTTGGGGTAGCGTAGATTGTGGACCTGACTGCTACAGGCACACTACCAGTCGTCAATTTGAACTCAGAATTACGTGTTCAGTCGATGGTGCGTCGGTTTCCGTTTCAGCATTTAGAATCGAAGGCCGGATATTGTTCGTGACGTGCTACTCAAAGCCCGGATATGTGTTGGAAAAGACGAAACTTAATGAGTGGGAACAGACAATACCGGATGAAACGACTAGGGAACATAACTAAGATAATACCAGGATAAGACAATTGGTTGTTGGCTTTTGGGCCACAGACATCCGCGTGTAGGGTGAGCCATAACTTACAAAATAGAGTTGCGAATATACTTCATATGAGTTGTGTCGGTAACATACCCTCCGCGTGCTCTGATCGAAGAGAACATTTATCACTGAGAGATTCTCTCGAAAGTACCTGATTTATAAGGCAGACCACTGTAGAATAAGAAGCAATAAGTGCCCTTATTTTGCACCCTCGCAGATAAGGAACGAGCATCGGTAACCCAAGTCACCCTATATCAATTTTACTCGGTGTACGGGGTAATTCCTCGTGATAGAACGATGAGGAAGTGAACTGGGCGAACGGATGTTTCATGCCTTGCTTGCTGATGGTTTTCAACCACTCAATGGCCGATTGGCCTGATTAACCGGTCGGTTAACCAGTAGTATATGTTAATTCGAAGAAAACGGCGGCCTCACAAGATGACAGTGCCTGCCCTTGGTTCTCGGGAGCGTTTTGGGAGAGGCACGGGACAGGTAGTTTCGTTTATAGTGTACCTTAGTTCAGACCATGATGGGCAATTGAGATAAAACATAATAATTTTGAATTAACACAATGGAGACCTCATCCCCAAATTATCTTGAAAAGGAACAGAAAGTAAAAGACATGGAATTTAGGATATGAACACAGAAACATGCTAAAGATTCAACCCTTTAATTGCATTGGTATTCGGGGCATTCCCAAGATTATTAACAGTTATATTGGGCTAAACCCGCAATCGACTAAAGCGTAGTAGATGTGCGTGAATATCATTTCTAACGGCTAGTACAACCAAGAACGGTAAACCGCCATGCTACTCATTACAGAATTCCGGGATTCAAACGTTTTCGTACTAAAGACGTATCCAATAGGCTGAAGCAATGCACTGGAGCATACCACAAGCAGAAATTCTTGGTGTGTTTCACTATCCACAATCCACTGAAGCATACAAATGACAAAAATAAGCTACAAAGGTACTCTTTGTTAGATCGATGGACACATACGTGGTGTACGGATTAATCTGTGCGTAAATCTGAGATAAGAACAACCGCAAGCAAACTGCACCGACTGGATTTTCGCTGGTCGCGTACAAAGGGGACTGTTAAAGACAACTGTTAATTTTGTAGGTTCAGATAAACCAAATCGGAATTCATCTCGTCTGACGAACGTTGAAAAAACCCTCAAGCACTTCTATCCCTGTGCACCGATTCGAATACATTAAGTGATAGAATTTGTAGTTTAGTATCTTCAACATTTCCACAAATATTGTTTCTGGAAAAACGAACTAATAGAAGTTCATTTTCGAACTGATTTCTAAGACCGAAGAGTTTAGGCGCTGTGGGGTTTTGGGTCATTGTGAGAATGTTGATGACTGCGCAGCGGGTGCATTGAATGAAACTGTCTGACGTTTCCACCGCGGAGGGTGGCCTTTATCAGGGGGAGGGTGACTGACAATGAAACATTGCCAATGCGGCTAGCCAAAAAGTGGTGGGCAGTGTCACGTGTATTGTGATTTGCCTGAACTTCATGTATGCCCTGCAAGCTATGTGGGCGTGTGTACATGTATGAAAACTCGCCTGAGGACTGATTCATGGTGCTTGAATCGTCTTTATTTGATGAATTTGACCAGAAAGCTACCAGACAACGCTGTCAGACTTGTTGATACAGGAATGTGTCACCTGACTAGCACCTGTGTGCGTACAGACTATGCTGTAGGATATACATCTTATCAAAGTTGACCCGATGGTTTCCAGCCAAGGTATGCAGTCTGCTACCTGAGTGACACTCAGGTTTGTTTAATTCGCTAGCGTTTCACTGAGCTTTCTGACAATGCCACCTTTGTTCACTGAATCCAACTTCGACTGCTTGCTGGTTTGACCAAGGTGACCACAGTCGCGACCGATACAGTCAATCTTGTGATAAGGTTCTAGGGATTAAGTTGGTCTTTAGGGTAATCTGCTTGTCTCTGCAGTGTGCTTTCTGTTTGGCAAGCGGTACTGATGTTTCAGTTGGAGAGTATGCAGTGAGTGTTTTAGGATATCCGCCATCAATACGGGATCCTCTCCAAATCAACTCACGGTCCGGCTGTCATATTAGAACTGAGCAGCTTAAGTAGGTGTTCGGTTGAATTAATCAGACGTCCATCGATTCTCGGTGTTTGTTTAATAAGCAATAAAAACCGGAGCGCGACGCAGTTATCATACTAATTGCGTTATCTAAGAAGCATCAAGTCAACCTGGATGAGATTCATATCCAGTACCGTATCCTACAAAATCTCAGCGTGAACGCACAAACGTGTCGTGTGGCCAATACACGACAGTTTTATGCATAAATAGGTCAAGCAATGCTGATTTGTCATTCAGTTTGGCTATCCTTGGATTTCGTGGGAGATAAGCCTACTTGGGGGCTCATCAGTAGGTTGTCTCACGAAATCCAGTAACATGTACCCATCAGATTATTTGGACTGCTTTGTACCGAGAGGACCAGTTGCTTCGTGACTACCGATGGCCTTGTCTGCTTGTGCAGACTGCGGGCGAAGGTGGATTGCGAATTTCCGAGTTTCTCAATGTTAGACGCGTGACAAATGATGTGTTTTGAATGACAAGTTTTGATGAAGTGTAATAAGGAAAACTTCGTCACCACATGCGATCACTGTTGTACAGAAGTCAATCGCATTCGAAAAGCTTCGGCTGTGGAATCGGGGATCAGTTAGACCAACAATAGAATCTCTGGCTTTCACAGTCTGTTCAACGCTGCCCATTATTATAACATTAATATAATTATTGTTACATTGTTGTTTTATTAGTATATCAATCCTCAATTGCAGGATTACATATGTTCTTCGTCTGTGGCTCAAGGTCAACCGCCACTCCTGACCTCCAGGACCACATTTATGGAGTAGGCATTGGTTTGCCCTGCTCCTCCTGTCCTATACACTATTATGGCTATGAAGATTTTTCTGCTCATTCGTTTAGCTCTACAGAGAACTTGATACTACCAATCCAAGGGCCTGTAGTTCTACATGAATGCATTATTCTTTATCGAGATTCATCAGGTGGACTAAGGAGGACGGGACACCGGACCGCTTGGTGAGCGGTTTCAGGCTAGTATTTGCAGACCACGCAACTGATGCCAAGTTCAAGGGGCTGCTGGACTTAAACTTACATGTTAAATTCGGTCCAATTAGGGAAATCAGATGATTACTGTCGGATAATCTGATGGTATTATAGGGAGAATTTAAGATTTTAATCATAGTTTCGTCCCAAAATTGAAGTCATTTTTGCCAGAGTTGAGAATATTTGAAAATCTGTTTGATTCCTGTTGGAAATCATCAGTAGTGTGCATCGCATGAATCTCTAGGGAGTTTCATATCCGAAACTTCCCGACTGGTTGTTGAAAGTTATACCGTTCAACGAAAAGCTGGTAGTCGACAGTGCAATTAAATCTCACTTAGGAAGGATAAAGTGCCGCTAGTCCTTCACTTACGCTATTTACCTCACGTGGTTTCGTGTTTACTGTTTTTTTTTCAACGAGATCTTCCTCAGCTAAATGGCTTACGCCACGCGTAGGATGTTTGTCCTCCTAGATAACTTAAAATCTGAAGGTGGTATAAAGAGGATGAAGCAAAAATAATTGTACTTGCAGGGTGAGCCTGTTAATCAATGCGCCTTATATATCATTCCCACACGCGTCCAGCTGAGTAGTCTTGTGTGTTGAGGTTTTCGGGATACAAACATATCTTTATTCGTGGGCTAGGTCATCATTAGATTTCTTCCTTTTTCAATGAACTTCATTACCCGGAGCCAGCCTATGCCAGCCAACTTCATCAAATTGACCAGTATACAGTCGGAACTAGCAACTCCAATGATTACTTTACACGCCCAGACACCCAATCACCTCAGCGTTTTCATCCATTTTGTTAGGATTACGCGAGCTCAAACAATGCAAAAGCAACTACACCGCACCGAATGTATGATTACGGGGACAGGGATTTTGATAATGTGTGTGGTGGACAACAGTGGACTGAGGCGAGGTGACCACAGGTGGCTGGAGTGTGAAGTGGTCGGATCACAACTTTCTCTATTCTTCAACCTCGTGAGGCGGCACGAGTTTGTTAAACATCTGCGATCCAACGATTAATTATGCCCTGAAGATGTGGTCGTAGACAGGCACAGGTGCACGATTTTCGGTGCGTAAATGAAAGCGACAGTCAGCTGTTGTTTACACCTGGAGCCACCTGTTTCGACAACAAATATCTTTCAGAATGAAACCAATCGTCTTATTTGGATGAGGTGAAAGACGAGTCGTTTCGTTGTTTACATTGTAGTTTAATTCGGCATTTTTGCAGAGAGGATTTTTCAGAAATGAGAAGAATGTTTCACATTCGGTTACCTACTGGTATAAAAAAATTTGAAGAAAAACTGGTTAGTTTTATCGGGAAAGTTCACCCACGGCGAATCCTCCAAGGCTGTTTCAACTTGTTTGACAATTAGCAAAACGTGTGCCCTCAAAACCATGAGAGGTCGGGACGTAATTTAACAGTGGTTCAACAGGATAGCAGCTGTGAAATTTGTCGTCCCTTTGCGGTTCACTGTTCCATTACTTTTCTGACAAAGTTCTGGTCAAGAACTAGCTAAAAGGGTGGATTCACCACATCTCTCTCCGCTGCTGAATGTACGATTTACAGTCACTCTTAAAAATGTGATCATATTAACGAGTTTGAAGAATGGGTTCAGAACATAGCTGTGTTGATTTACTTGTGATACAGTGAGCAAGCGAACCACCAGTGATATGAGAAAATGCACACTGAAACAAGCCAAACCCATTTGAAGATCAACTTCAAACAATTGCCAATTCCGGGGTGGGGTTCTTGGTAAGACGGCAGAAAAGCCGCTGCTCAGTTAACTTAATTGTGCAAGTCGCAAACAGCTACCTGGAATTGAAATTTCGTTGTCCGTTTTGGACGGACCGCGGCCAAAATATGTACCATTTACACAAACCGACTGACACATAGTACACCATTTGACATTTATGAATTGCTTGGTGGCAGCCAAGAAAATTCGTATTGCTTAGACTCGACCCTTAATACCTTGTCTTACATTGCAAATTAGTCTTTTGTGTTGAAAGTGCTGTTTTTTCATCCACCTGATGGAGCATGTTCGCTCCGGTAACAACTAACAGATGTGAAGATTTTACTCATTCGGATAAGAAAACTTCGAACAAGTGATAATAAAACCAAAAAAACAGGATGGCGCAGACCGCAGATAAGTTTCAAAGTGGATCACAAGGATGACTTTAATAGAGTTTAAATGAATAAGGAACACGCATGACTAGATGGATAATGAACGTTCTTTCTTGGAGTTGATGCGGTAATCATTTTCATTCAAAATCTAGAAAGCTCGAGTGTGTGACAGGGACATAAATGCGGGTGCAATGGACTGCGCGGGAGTAACAATGGATATTTTTCTTACTATTTTTGGACCAAACCTACTCGAGTCAACCTATTCTGGCATGTACTTGTCAACTAGAATTGGGTGAATAAATTTTCTCCATAATGGAAAGAGTATTCGTTTTATCTGATTGTTTCTTTTTTGAAGCCGACGTCCTACGAGGGGACTGAGTGCTCCCGTTCATGCACCAGCCGTTTCGAAGAAGCTCAGGTCAACTGAGCCCAAGATTCCAGCGAACCACCCAAAGGTATTTGGAATAGTGATGACCGCCTTCAAAGCCGCGAAGGACCGCAAGAATATGTCACTTCTACCCATCAAGAAGTTCATCGCCACCAACTTCAAGTTTGATGTCGAGAGGCTTGGCCAGCACATCCGCCGCGGCAGCCAGAAAGACGTTCTTTTCCGTGTTGGTAACAAGGGCAAGGGTTTGTTCCTTGGTCAAGGCTACCAAAAAGAAGGCAGCTGTGGCGAAGCTTCAGGTTGTCAATGAGCCAAAAAAAAACTATTCGGTTCTTTGTCGTTTATATTAGTGATAGCCCACTACTACGACGTACTAAATCAATGTCAGTGATACCAAAGCCTCTCATATTGCTGTGGATGCTTACGGACAAGACGCCACTCTTTGAAGGGCTGTAAAACTTTGCGGCCTTTGCTTGATTGACCTGTCGACTGCACACAAGTACCCACTAAACTTGAAGTCGGGTCCAACCGGTCTCAACTGGTACCCGACTGACCCACCTCTACAGATTTCAGTGCGTTCCAATCGATATGAGCTTCTCCATTGGGATCATTCATCGTCCTGCTTGAGTAGCATTCAAATTCTGAAGGGTCATGTTTGACCGATAACTTCACAACGCAGGGCTTTCCTCTTTTTAAGGTGTCAAATACTAAACTAAATGAATTTATTCCCGCCACATATCTACACATGACACTCAGTTATATCATGACAACTTCCGAATCTTGCTGTACACAAGTCAAAAGCCAAGCTCTACCGAGAACGACTTAAGTTTGCCCTCGTATGACTGTAGCCATGCGACAGTAGTCTGCGGCGCACTGTATACATTGCTGGTCCTGGGTGGTCATCTAAGTCGTTTTAGTTGCCACAGCGTTCTGTCAGATGTCGTTCTTCAACGTGATGACATCCCAAGTGTTTTCAGAGCTGCGGCCATATCACCTGAGCATGATATGCGGTTCCTGTTCTCAGAAGTAGCCAGCTATTATATGCCAAATTGACTAGACTTCTTGGATCAAGGGACTTTGATCTTTCTCATCGGTGATTCTATGACGCAAGAAGAACGGTTTAGAAATTTACCTGATCTGGAAGCCAATGCCGGGGTAACTTGTTGTGCCCTGGTCACCCATTACCTCATTGGTGGATTTCATTCTTCCTTGCCAATGAAAGTATATGATCGTTTGGTCAAGTGGTTGGTCAAACTTCACAGCAGAGCACTTTCTCCTTTCACTGGATTCAGTACTGCAAGGTCCATTTTACAGTATGTCTATAGACGCGGCGCCCAGCCATCGTCAGCCCAAAACCACAGTGCAAGAAAGATACAACAGAAAAGTGAAGAATACTTGGAGCATACTTTATGCCCTTCATATAGCGGATGACGAACTCGAAATATCTGAAAGCTGAGACTCAGTCAAAGCCCTACAAGTGACCCATAAATGCATCCTTCAAATGCCAACTGACCAATTTAGGCAATAATGTGGCCGAGGAAAACGGTTTGATTCGTAAACAAATCCGTCAAGCAATAGTGACAAAATTGTTTCATATTTTCCCTTTTTGTTCCATCAAAGCGCCACTCCGCCACCTGGTTATGTTGTATATGCCTAATAACTGTAATGTACAGTGATGTACACTTCAGCTAGCCTCATCTTGGTTTAATAAAAACGGTAAAAGTCCACCACTTAAGAACCGACTCAGCATACACGGTATTTAAATTAAATGATGTTGTTCAGTTACTTTGTTTTGGGTAATCTTGTAAACAGGCGAGTACCCTTATGTTCATCTTACTCTGTGTTCGATGGAAGAAGAAGCTGTTAAGCGACAAAAAGCTTTTGATGAAACCACCCCTTTGAAAGTCGCCCTCGATGGGAAGTACAATTTCTTCGGTGGTTATGGGCTAGCGCTTATCAATTCCTCCAAAGTCTGTAAGTGACTGAATGAAGTCTGGTCTATGCTCGATTTGATTCTCGGACATTGCCTCCAAAGCAACAAGCAGCCTCTGAGAGAATTTACCTCCTCATTCTCCTCTTCTTTCTCTTCTAAATATACCTTCATCCCAGCAAGGCCGTTGTACAACCTTTCCATATGATATAAAGCAGTTGAAGCGATGGCGACCTTTCTTCATTTTCACCAGGCAAGCACAAGGTTATCTTGCCTGAAACTATCGGCATCGATTGGTGGAACTCTACGGAATGCACTCATTTGCACACCAATTCGGGTTTACCAGGAGATTCAACTGGATTGCAGCTGATTCATTTGTGATACTATTGAACTGATTGTCTTACCCTCAGGCGGCCTCGTGTTTCAGGTAGAACGATGTACGAAATACTTCAGTATATTACCTTTAGTGAAACTACTCACAACGTTACTCAGAAGTAGACCATAATGTTGACGCAAACGTGGGGACTTCAGCTACCCGGTGAGTCTCAGCAATAGCGAAACCGACCGTGAGCTATCGAGGAGCTTCCAGCAAACTTGTGAATAACTCAATCAAGAATAGCGGAGCACTTCATCAGCCTGACCGCACTCATACTAGCTTTTATGACCTCTATGCCGCCATTTTCATCCAGTTTCTTCGTCACACTGGAATGTTCCACACTCCCAGTTAATATTTCTCCATTTGCCGTTTGAGTGCTTGCTTTAAATAAAATAATGATGCAATTACTCTCGCGGTTTCATCCTTCCTAAACTAAGCATTTTTCTGCTAAAAAGCCCCACGGAGCTTACATTCATGCAGATAGATGTGTACGACAGAAAATAATAAATCTTTTCTCACTTTCATTCTTTACTCTCCTTCACTCATTCTTCACCGTAGTTTGGTAAGTGACAGCTGTATAGAAACCTGAATGAAGCTCACAACTGATCACAGATAAGGTCACTATTTCTAAAAACAATCCTTCGTGAAACGGAGATATTTTATTCTTCTTAGTTGGTAAACACCAACCATATAAGTAGTATTCACATTGTCACTTACAGCCGCACGGTGGGAGGTGAAATGTGGACTATGTATCTGAACAAGGCTTTGGATGAAAAAACCAGACTCTTTTCTGGTAATGACCCGTTTCACGGGTCATTGTCTCTTGAACACGCTAGACGCGTGTCCTTTCGAAGAACGGGTCTACAGATAGATCGCAGTTGTTCCAACCGAAATCGCTCCGTTGGGGGCCGCGTAGGTGACTGTACCTATTTGAAAATATGTGATTGCAGGATTTTCAAGTTGGCTTTCAAAAGCATCT